CATATGCATATACAAAGGGGGTTTAAATAGTTACTCTCAGTGTCAGGCATTCGTTCTTCAGCCACATTGAGGATAGGAAGACCTTTACTCTCAGGATTCTCCAGGCACACTGAGGAGAGGCAGCAGGATCAGCCCTTTCAACCTAAGGTAGTGGAAAGAACTAGTGGCCGGCTACTTTGCTTTTCTGATCCTCAGTTTGAAGCTTGAACTCCAATATCAGTCTCTGGGTCTTTTATTTATCATGTAACACCAGTGTCTTCCAATACTCCTACTAGGATGGCCCATTTAGCCCCACTTAAAGCATTCAACTGCTTTTATAGTCCAAAGTTCCAAAGTCTATCACATTCCTCCAACAAATAGCATGGTCAGACCTATCAAAGCAACACCCCAACTTCCTCTGTCTTAATCAATGTTCTATTGCTGTGAAAAGACACCATGATCATAGCAACTCTTTGGGGGCTGGGCAAAAGAGTCTTTTATTGTTTTGCTGTACTTATTTGATTTTTAAAAGCTATAATGTGAGAGATGGCAAGATGTCTCAGTGGATAAAGATGATTGCCACACAGGCCATAGCAACTCATGTTTTTCCCCCTGAGACAGAGTTTCTCTGTGTAGCTTTGGAGCCTATCCTGGCACTCGCACTTTAGACCAGGCTGGCTTTGAACTCACAGAGATCCACCTGACTCTGCCTCCCAAGTGCTGGGATTAAAGTCTTGAGTCACCAATGCCTGGCCCATAGCAACTCTTAAAAAGGAAAGCATTTAGTTGGGGCTGGCTTACAGCTTCAGAGGTTTACTCTAGTATCATTATGTGTGGGAAGCATGGTAGCATGCAGGGCAGAAATGGCGCTGGAGAAATTCGGAGAGTTCTACATCCAGATCTGCAGGCAGCAGTAAGAGAGAGACTCCAGGCTTGGCATGGAATTTTGAAACTTCAAAGCCCACTTACCCATCATATACTTCCTCCAACAAGGCCACACCTCCCAATAGTGCCACTCCTTGGTGAACAAACTGTTGTGATTTAAGAAAAGCTGCTCGAAAGAGAAAGATGCCATGTGACAGGGTTCAAGCAGAGGGTTTGTTTGTTTGTTTGTAATTAGAAAAGTTCATAAAAAGGGGATGGGGGAGACCAGCCTCCAGGGACAGGAGCAGCAGGAGATAGGAAAGAGGGGCAGAGAGTGGGGAGGGAGAGAGAGACAGAGAGACAGAGAGACAGAGAGACAGAGAGACAGAGAGACAGAGAGACAGAGAGACAGAGAGACAGAGAGACAGAGAGACAGAGAGACAGAGAGACAGAGAGACAGAGAGACAGAGAGACAGAGAGACAGAGAGACAGAGAGACAGAGAGACAGAGAGAGAGAGAAAGGACCAGGGAGACAGAGAGACAGAGGGGACAGACAGACAAAGGAAGAGAAAGAGAGAGAGGAGCTTAGGAGGTGGGCAGGGTCCTTTTAAAAGGGAGCATCGTGAATGTGCACAGGTGGTGCTCTTAGTGGCTGCAGCTGAGGGCATATCCTGTCAGAACCCCAAGGACAGGCCAGTACTGATGCCTGAATACTAATACAAACATTCAAATGTACATGAGCCTATGGGTACCATTCTTATTCAAACCACCTTGCACTCCATAAAAGCACCCTGATCTCTGCAGCCTGAGAGCTTCTGAGTTTGCTTTCACACACCCCTGCTCAGTTTGTGTAGCATGTAAGTCACAGGTTGTGAAGGTTAACATTGATGACAACTTGATGAAGAGGAGACAACCTCTAGGTGTTTCTACAAGGAAGTTTCTAGGTTGAATCAACTATCTGTGAAGCTATCTCAGGTTACAACACTTGTCAGTGATTCGGGCGAGGGCCTGAGGATTTAAATGAAGACAATGGATGAAAGGCCTGAGCTAATGTTAAACACCTACAATAAAGGCCTCTTTGCTTTTGCATCGAGATGGGCATCTTGGTGATTTTGGGGTTCAGAATTTGGGCACAACACAACCACAAATAACTAACAACTGTTGCATAGCCTTTGCCAGGCTTCTCTAAGTTGGAAATAATCCTCGAGTCTACAGAAAATATTAAAAAACTAAACCTTCATGAAAATTTATATACATTTGCAATAACCTTTGACTGTAGTATCTACATATTCTTGGGAAAGATATTACTTCATACAGCTCCAGTTTTTAATTTATGAGACCCAATATTTCCCTCAAGCACTACCGAGTGCAACATATCTGCACAGATATAAACCAAACCCTGCTGGTTATTTCCAAACCACCTGTTTGTTATATCTAAATCCTTTAAAGTCCACCACCCCTAATAAAAAAATGGCAACTGATGTATGAGTTACCATTTCTATGTTTTTTTACTGAATACATTTTTGTGTGTACCTATGTATTAGTTTTTGTTGTTTATTTTTGTTTTACTTTGTTTTGTCAACTGGATATTGTGGAACAATCTTTTTGTACACTATGAAGATATATCATTCTGATTGGTTTAATAAAAAACTAGACAGGAACCTCACCTGAGAAAATGCCTTCATCAGATTGGCTTGCAATTATTTATTACTATTGTAGTTACCAGCCTCCCCGTTTTAGCAGCCATGACAGGCTAACATGTGCTTGCATGACCTTGCTGTTCCAGTCCTGGTCACTAAGGTCAGATGCCCTCCTCATGGCAAGGAACCAATCAGAAGTTAGCTGGTAGGGCTGTGCTTTACAGCTCTGGGTGTGCTTTATGGACAAGTGCACAACAGTGACGTGCAGAGCATAGCAACCACCCTGGGAGGGTCTATGGGCCATAACAACCAGTTGGCCAATCAACACAGGACAGACCACCCAAACCTGGAAGTGCACCAATCCTGAGACTGTTTCATACCCCTAGACACTCCCCTTACACTGCCCTTTAAGGTCCCTGCCTGAAGGTTGCTTGGGGTCTTTCTCCAGCCATTCGCCATGGTGGTGGGGTGAAGGTTTAGCTCATTAAATAACTGTAATAGAAGACTCTTCGCTTTTGCATCGAAATGGGCCTCTTGATGATTTGGGGGTTCAGAATTTGGGCACAACACTATTTATTATTTATTTTATACGTTTAAGTGTAGAGTGCAGCCTTCCTACCAGCCTGCTTCCAGAGCCGCATCAGTCCCAAATGTACACACAGGAGGCTATATTAATTACTAAGCTGTTGGCCGTTTGCTTGTTTTTTTACTGGTTATCTCTGACTTAATTATTTACCCCATAATTGTTTTTTTTCATAATTGTTAATCTAAGTATTTCTCTTAATGGAGAAAGGGGTCTGGACTTCTTACCTCTGTGGCAGCTACATTGTGGCTCCCTGTGTTTCTCTTTCCCAGAATCCTCCTCAACTCCTAGTCCCAACTATCTTGCTTCCCTATTGGCCAACAGTGCTTTATTGGCATATACATAGGACTTCCCCATCATGTAGGTATTTTGTCTACATGCATGTCTATGTACCATGTGCGGCGCTCATGGAGGCCAGAAGAGGAGTTCAGATCTCCTGGGACTAGAATTAGAGGCAGTTATTAGGTGCTATGTAGCTGCCTGGATCTAAACTTTGGTCCTCTGGAAGAGCAGCTAATGATCTTAACTACTGAGCCGTCTATCCCCTGGCCAGGTAGTCCTGGATTGTATAAGAAAGCAAAGTGGGTGCACCATTGGGAGCTAGCTGGTAAGCAGCATTTCTCTATGGTCGCTGTTCTAGTTCCTGCCTCCAGGCTCTTGCCCTCATTTCCTTCAGCTATGGACTGTGATTAGAGTGTGTAAGCTAAATAAACCCTTTCCTCTCCCAAACTGCCTTTGTCATGTTATCACATCAGTAGGAAGCAAACTAGAATTGTATATGTGTAAACATGTTCATGTGTTTGCACCTGTGTGTGGCTGTGCATGTGGAGACCAGAGATCAATGTCTAGTGTCTTCCTCAATAACTCTTCATTTTATTTGTTTGCTTGTTTGTCTTTTTGAGACAGGGTTTCTCTGTGTAACAGCCCTGCTTGTCCTGGAACTATTTCTGTAGACCAGGCAGGCCGGCCTCGAACTCACAGAGATCCACCTGCCTCTGTTCTGGGATTGAAGGAGTGCCCCCCCACCACCTGGCACTCTATTTTTTAAGACAAGGTGGTTTGAATGAGAATGGATCTCTTAGGAATATATGTTTAAATGCTTGTTCCCTAGTTAGTGGAATTCTTTTAGGAAGGATTAGTAGGTGTGGCCTTATTGGAGGAGGTGTGCCACTGGACTTTGAGCTTTCAAAAACCAGGCCTAGTTCCCTTACCCTAGCCCCCAACCTTGTCCCCAACTTGTGGATCAGGATGCAAGCTCATAGTTACTACTCCAGTTCCATGCCTGCTGCTGAGATGCCCACCATGATGCTCATGGACTAACCCTCTGAAACTGTAAGCAAGCTCCCAATTAAATGCTTTCTTTTATAAGTTGCCTTGGTTATGATGTTTCTTCACAGCAGTAGAAAAGGAACTAAGAAACAAGGTGTTTCACTGACCTTGGCAATTTGACTAGACTGACTGACCAGCAAGGAGGTCAGACAAGGCAGGTCCTGACTCTGCCTCCCCAGTAATGGCATTACAGTTATGCATTGCCAGAGCTGGCTTTTTAATGGGGTCTTATATTTGTGCAGCAAATATTTTACTGGCTGTGCCATTTCCCTGGCCCTAAATGTATACATTTCTGAAAAAAAAAAACAATATTCTTCCAGGAAAGCCTGAATTAGATGCTGTAGCTATCTAAGACAATGGGGACCATTTTCTGGGTGTTTTCTAAAGTGATTTTCTTTTGTTTATCCATTGATGATCCTGAGATCTTGCATTATGTCATTGGTCTACTCTTAGGGAAAATGCTAGACTATGACTAGCTAGTTCATCACAATTGACTTTGATGGAAATGTCAAGAAGCAAGAGAAACAAATGCAAGAGAGAAAGAAAGGAAGCACTTTTATGAGTGAGGAACAGGGAGGTAAAATGAAAACCAAACCAAACCTTGTAGCACTTGAGTGTTGTTTTGGTCAACTGGCAGACAAAGTCATAGAAGACAACTGTAGGAATGAGTCCTCTTTTGTAATCCAGGACTTGTTGTTCAGAATGAGTTTCGATACATATGAAAAAGGAATACGAAGCACACAAAAGAAGAAGAAAGAAAAGAAAACCCAAAACGATTTGCACAAGTGCTACAAGTACACATGAGAGCAGAGGGATAGATTGTTAATCCACACCAGCAAGGATGGGTACAAACAAACAAAGCAAACAGCAGGACATTTGAACTAAGGGACCTGGTTCATCCTATAAGTCAGTGGTATGGAAAAAAAAAAAAAAACAGAAAGACTACAAACGACTTTGGAGCTCAAACCAAAGGCAGTGGTTGGAATTTATGAGGTTCCAAATTCAACCAAAATACAACAAAACAAACTGGGGAGAATATACTTTTGAGACAACATAGAAAACTTTAGTAGGGATTGAAACTCATGCAATGCTGTGTGGTGGTCAGCTTTGATGATGACAGAATGACATTGAAGCAACATCAAGTACCTCTGTCGTCCATATGCTTCGTGGATAAGGCCATGCTCCCCTTCTACATAACACTATTATAATTCCATATCATTATTACCGTGACATAGTGAGACAAGGAGGGGGGAATAAACTGATATCAGACCATCCCTCCCTCCCCCCCCCTCCTCCCTCCCTTCCTTGCAAGAGAGTCCTATGGGTGTTCATTTTACTGTTTCTATGTATGTCTAAATTTTCATAACAAAATTTCTTTTCAAAATGACTGGCATATTGCTTTGAAATTTTAATATCCTCTTATTGTAGGTAATAATATTGTAACTGTATGCAATTTTAGACCAATAAAATTAAATTATTCGAGGTGGAAGTTGGATTTTATATCATGTCCTTGTCAGAAGTGAGCTACCACAGGGTGAATAATGACATCACTCTGTTAATCAAGGCATCTGTATATGTCTATTCAAATTTATTTTTGCTAAATTTTCTTTAAAATAGTCATGTCTTATAATCAAAACTAGATATGTATGATAAAAATAAATTAGCCATGCTTATTCTAAATGTACTTTTAATAGCTTCTGGGAGGCACAGTGGAGAAAAGGAGATTCGAGAAGGCCCCAAACTTTCAAATGTGAGTGACTGGAAAAACAGGGATGCTGTTCAAATCTGAACACTGAAATGCAAAACCACTTTTTGATGGTGGTATTGTCATCCTGAGACAGAGCCACTATGTAGTCTGGACTGGTCTTAAACTCATAGTTTTCCAGCCCCAGCCTGAGTACTTTAAGGTGTGTGCCAGAACGTCTGCTTGAAAGTGATTATGATAAGTTACTGAGTTTTTGAATATTGTGTGAGAGGGCCTGGCAGACACCACAGGGGACAATGTACAACAGGTACGTGGGTGTGTGAGCATCCTTCATGGTTACTGATTTGGAATCGTCATTGTTATTTACCGTGTGCGAGTACAGACCACAAGGTATGTAACAAAACCCACTTCAGAGTTTTATTAGTAAAGAGTAGGAACTGTGGGTGTGCCCAGGCCTGTCTGGAAGAAACGTCAGGAGAGAGAGGAAATAGGTCGGGCACATCTGCTTTTTTTTTTTTTTTTTTTTTTTTTGCAGAACACAAGGGCTATGCCATGCACAGACATGGATTATGCGGCTACACTGCGCATGCGCACAAGGCCTGGGATGAGTAGACATTTGCTTGCATGATGATTGGACATTTTGCCTGAATGCTGATGTGCATGTGCAGCCAATCTATGATCATTGGGCAGTCTGCCTGAATGCTATTGGTCATGTGTGTGGCCGTGGGACCCCAGAAATGACAACACTTGTGTTTAGCTATGGTTTGTGATGCTCTTGATAAGGACATGAAGGGGAAGGAGGTGTAGGGACGGAGAAGGGAATGGTTTGAGCCACGAGGAACCGCCATGTTTAGGAAAGGATAGAGATAAAGGCATTTTGATTGTTAAAAGACCAGACAATACCAGGAAGCAAACTGCTCCTCTTATTTCCTCAGTGCAAAGCCAAGATCTTTGAGAAAACAGTTCTGTGTAGGGTTTCCTTCAGTTTCTTTGATTATAGCTGTGCTCAGAAGGGGGAGAGATTTTCTCGTTCTTGCTTGCAGTCCCCGCCTGCTTCTTTTCAGCAGGTGTGCCTTATTTAGGGTTTCTATTGCTGTGACAAAACACCATGGCTGAAAACACATTGGGGAGGAAAGAGTTTTATTCGGCTTACGCTCGCATGGTAAGATTGTCATCCAAACCCTCCTTGCAACTCCTGGCAGGAGATGGCTGTGGGTGTCATAGCACAATGTCCCGAGCATCTGCATAGTTTATATTATTAGTGCCATGGCAGACCATAACCATGTAGTTGGAGCTGAGATCATTGTTTTCTGAGGACCTGTTTACATTAGTTCATCAAGAGTGAAGGCTATCTGCAGAACTGTAGGTCCTCATTTTTTTTAGTCCTCATTCTTATATGTAGCACCAGTTCTAATAGGTCTTAATAATGAAAGCCCAGAGTCAGATATAGGGGAAATGCTGAGAGATCGGAGAGTCGAAGGAGGAGACTGAGGTCCTGTCTCCTCCCAGCCATTTCACTTCCTGTCTGTCTGTACAGACCTCCAGCCCTCTATGGTTAACTAGTGGCTAGCTCGGCCCTCTGATCTTCAGACAAGCTTTATTTGTTAGAGTACAAACAAGATACCACTACACTAGTACGAGAAGGAACGCGATCTGCTTCCCTCATAGGCTCCATGTGAGGAGAAACAGAGAGCAAAGCCAGTGACTGCTTGGTTTGGGTGTTGAGTGGACAATGAGGCCCAGGCTTCCAGCAGTTTATACTGCATTTGGTAGGCAACTGAAACTCCCAACTCTAGTTGGTGTGATCCCTCCACAGATGATACTCTGGTTTGGAATTCATCGTGTGAAAGGTATTGGGGGGGGCGTGCAGTGCACAGCCTTGTACACAAGTAAAGGTCTTGGGGTCTGAAATGCTGCTGGACACAAGTGTGACATTTGCAAATGAATGTTCACCTGTCCTACCAGGTAAGTGACTTGGCAGAAGTGTGCTCTGTCTAGTGTTGAGGAATGGGTTTTCTTGGAGCATGAGACCCAGAAGCCTCAGTAGGACATTTAGTATGTCACCCAGAAAGAGTTCCTCTTTCTTCCCTTCCTCTCCATTCTGCAGCCTGCCCTATTAAGACTAAAGGATCTAACTCAGTCCCCTTGCACGGGGCACCTTGGCAAGCTAAGGTACATAAGCCTGAAGTCAACTTGAACAGGATAAACTCTAAGCCTAGTTCCTGTTCCTCTGACAGAGTTGCTATTCCACCCCTTCCTCTGACCCTCTGAAAAATATCGCTTAGCCCTTGAAAATTGCATGTGGAGCCTCTCTCAGGCCCTTTATTGCATTTTCTTTTGAAATATTTTAAAGGTTCACTTCCTGCATGAATGCTTCGCTGCTGGAAAAGAGGTAGTGAACTTGTCTTCCTTTTTGAAGAAGCAGCTTCCCATCCCCCCGGCTGGTCCAAAGCCTCAGCAGGACTGACATGTCCAGGCTGTCTAGGATGTGCACGGTAGAGGATTCAATTTTTGTCTTGGGAAGAAAATACTGCTCACCCCCTCCCGTCACCAACACAATAAACATCAAACTACAGCTTCCGCTCCACAATTTAGCTAGGAAAAGGCAAGGTACTTTTTTTGTACATTTCTTTTTTCAAGTTTCTGACAAATTGGAAATCTCTTTCCCTCTGGGAAGCAAACAAAAGGGCGCCTCTCATGCCCCATCCCACCCTCCCCGCCCACCCTGCCCACCCCGCCCTCTCCACCCTGCTCTGGGCATTTCAGTTTTTCTTGCTCATTCTGTCCACTTTCCTTGAGCTCTCTTCTAAAATTTATTTTGACTGTTTTATTAGCTAACAATTACCCAAGAAAGAAAGAAAATCGGGAAAGGGAAGACAGCTCTTCATTATTTTGTTGTTTTTTTCAAGAATCAAGTGCTTTGAAAGGGCTGTGACTTAAGAGGGACCGCTGAACACGGTTTCACCAGCTCTGTTATGAATGAATTCCGTCTGTGGTTGTACCTCTCGCTGTGCTGTGATAGGCTCTTTCCTGTTACTTCAGAAAACCGAGCCGTATGCTTAGTTATCTTGGTAAAGAGAATTATTTACGAAGGTGACTACCAAAATTGGATGTCCCTGACTTCCCCACTCCTCCTCCTGCCCCCTTTTGCAAGACATAAATGAGTTGGTTTTTTTTTTTTTTTTTTTTTTTTTGAGAAAGGGTCTCACTACGCAGCTTTGACTGGCCTGGAATGTGCTTTGTAGACCAGGTTAGTTTCAAACTCATAGAGATCCACCTGCCTCTGCCTCCCGAGTGCTGGGATTAAGGGAATGCCGCCACTTGAGTTAATGTTTGTTTTACTTCGTTTTGTTTTTAGTAGTTTACTCTTTTCTTCGTATGGAATAAAAAGAGAAGCAATGCCCAGGCCAAACTAAATTCAAATCCTGGCTATTGGTGTGAACTTAGACAAGTTAAAATACTTAGAGCATCCTCAGGGAGTCTCTATAGCAAAGAGATGTGGGTATTCAACAGGAAAGGCCTTGCACTGAGAGGGTTGTTTATGTTGCCTTTGTTTCTAAATCTTTGGGGGATGGATAGTAAAAGTGTTCACCTGAACTGCTGCAGGATGAGTAACTCATGGAAAAAGCAGAGGCTAACAGAGACAGCAAACCTGCAACCTGAAGGCATTTGAACGGCCCAGCGTTCGCCTATCGGACAGTCCATGTTGTTGTTGTCGGCTGGGGAAATTTTGCAGCGAAAGTTCAGAAACAGGTATTTCTGAGGTACTTTGTTCTTTCACGGGGAATTTCTTCTTCTTTCCTTTCTTGCCCCAACACAACGGTATAGGCATATATTTACATATCACTCTGGGTGAGCTAGGACCGTGCAAAAAACTGTATTCTTGCAATGTGGCAACTGAGTTCTGCAAGACCAAGAGGAAACCACACGCATGGCTTCTCAGCGCCTTTGTTTTTGGAGCTCTGACTCGCTATTCTGCCGAACACAGGTTTGCATTTAAATGATGGGCCCTGTGCATTTTAAACACC